TACGGGGAATAAAGTATACACTGGCGAGCAAATGCGTACTGGCGAATATACTGGCGAGCTAATGCGTACAACGCTGCTGCAGTCCGAGCACGTTCACGTTCAGCACTTCGTCGTTGTCATCCTCAGGCACCTACTTAGCCCGTGACATTACCCGCCGGCGGCAGAAGCACCGTCCCGGTGCGATCAATTCTCGAGGCGTGAGTAGTATATGGTTTAAGCCGTGAGATGTGCACTATATCGGTCGAGACTGATGCTGGTACTGACGTGGTATGGAGTGGAGCTATCTCATAGGTCACGCTGGTGACCTTGCGTATGACGCGGTAGGGGCCAACGTAACGGAACATCAGTTTTTCGCAGAGACCAACACGACGTGATGGTAACCACAGCAAGACGAGTGACCCCGGAGAGTACTGTACGTCTCGGTGCCGGCGATCGTAAGCACTCTTTTGGTTAAGCTGCGAGGCACATAAACGATCCCGGGCGACTTGGCGGGCGATGTCAGCTCGGGCCAGGGCATCACGAGCATAAGCAGTCGATAAGGGGGCGTCAGATTAGAGCATGGTGTCCATGGGCAAAGGCGGGTCATAACCAAACAGTAGGTAAAAAGGTGAAAATCCAGCTGTATCATGACGTGAACTGTTGTATGCGAAGGTAACGAAAGGTAAGTGAATGTCCCAATCTTTGTGATCCTTGCAGACGAACATCGCTAACATATTCGTCAGGGTACGGTTGAGGCGTTCCGTGAGGCCGTTGGTTTGCGGATGGTACGCTGTAGTGAACTTGTGGTGGGTAGAGCAGGATTGCAGGAGCTCGTCGACTACTTTAGATAGAAAACAGCTGCCGCGGTCGGTGATCAACTGACGGGGAGCACCATGACGTAGAATGATGTCATGAAGAAGGAAATCGGCTACGTCAGTAGCGCAGCTGGTGGGGAGGGCGCGTGTAACGGCATACCGCGTTTCGTAGTCGGTAGCAATAGCAATCCACTTATTACCGGTGGCCGACACGGGAAAAGGTCCTAGAAGATCGAAGCCGACTCGGAAAAATGGCTCATCTGGTACTTCAATGGGCTCGAGGGTACCAGCAGGTCTCAGAGCAGGTGTCTTGCGGCGCTGGCAGAGGTCGCATGCCGCAACGTACTGTCGCACAGAACGATAGAGGCCAGGCCGAAAGAATCGGCGGCGAATGCGGTCATACGTGCGTGACACCCCTAGGTGTCCAGCGGAGGGGGCATCATGCAGCTGGGCCAAAACGTTTCCCGATCCCGATTTATAGGATACGAAAAAAGTGTACTCTTGTAAACGCAGCGCCCAGCGACCAAGGCCTTGAGTGAGGAGGGTCCTTGAGTGAGGAGAGCCAGCAAAGCGCATGGTGGTCCGTAATAACTGAAAATGGTCGGCCATACAGGTACGGTCGGAATTTCGCAATGGCCCAGACGAGAGCTAAGCACTCGCGTTCTGTGATGGAATAATTTTGTTCCGAGCGCGACAACAGTCGGCTTGTATACGCGATGACGCGGTGCATGCCTTGTTGCCGCTGCGCCAGCACTGCGCCTATGCCGTGGCCACTGGCGTCAGTACGAAGCTCCGTGGCGGCAGATGGGTCGAAGTGTGCTAGGACTGGTGGATTGGTGAGAATGTCAACGAGCGACGAGAAGGCCTTTGCTTGCTATTGGCCCCAGGTGAATGCGACATCCGTTTTGAGGAGGCAGGTTAGAGGACGGGCTACTTCAGCAAATTTCTCGACAAAACGACAGAAATAGGAGCACAGTCCCAGAAAACTTCGGACGTCCCTGGTTGAGCGGGGTGTGCGGAAGTCGCGAACTGCTCGGACTTTCGCAGGGTCTGGCCCGTGACAATATCAGCAGTTCAAAAAGATATCATCAGAGCGTATAAAAAAAATCGGCCATCTCGAAACAACAAATCAAAGTCAGAACGAAGGGCACTTGAACTACGAAAAAACACTGAAATTACCATCAAACCGGCTGATAAAGGGGGATGCATAGTAATTCTAAACACGACGAACTACTTAAAGGAAGGGGAACGACAACTATCAGACACAAAATTCTACAAAGAACTTCCAACGGACCCGACTCCCGAACTCGAAAGGGAGATAAATGTAACCCTAAATAATCTCTGCCGGGACAAGAAAATTACCAGCAAAATGTTAAAAGCAATGTTACCGGCCCATTCTGTTCCCGGTCAATTCTATTTGCTCCCCAAAATACAAAAGGCAGGCAATCTGGGACGTCCGATAGTATCCAGTAACAGCACATTATCAGAAAATATATCAGAATTCATCAATTCCTTAATAAAAAACATCCCCCCAAATTTTCCCTATTACATAAAGGACACAAACCACTTCATCTGTGAAACTTCAAGTCTTGACATCCCAGGCGGTAGTTTTCTGGTGACCATGGATGTCTGTTCATTGTACACCAACATACCCCACCAAGACGGAATGGCGGCTATGGTTTCTGAATATGTAAAATCTGACTCATCAACTGGTGTAAGTGGCGAGGTACTGTTTACACTTCTTGAACTTGTACTAAATTATAACCATTTTGAGTTCAATGGCAAGCATTTCCTTCAGGTCAGTGGCACTGCAATGGGCACGAAAATGGCCCCAAACTTCGCGAGCACCTTTATGGCTTCACTTGAAATCCTATTCATTGAGGGACGCACCTTGAAACTTTTCTACTACAGAAGATACCTAGACGATATTTTTATGATATGGAACCACGATGAGGGAAGTCTTTTCCGCTTCATAAAGGATTTTAACAAGAGCCACCCGTCAATTAAATTCACGCACAAAATTTCCAAAACTAGCATTAACTTCTTGGACGTCACTGTCAAAAATGACCGCTTGTCAACAAACCTTTACAAAAAGCCTACAGACCGTCAAATGTACCTACATTTGAACAGCACCCACCCAAACCATTGCAAAATGGGTATTCCATATTCTCAGGCCTACCGGTACCAAGAATATGCACCGATATGCGGGAATTCGACAGACACGCAGAACACCTAAAGCATTCCTTATTGAAACAAAATTATCCGAAAAACATTATTGACGATGCCATACTACATGCTCGCAACGGGAACAGGAATGATATAATTAAGGGACCAAACAGAGTATCTAAAACGACTTCCCAAACGAACCTTGTACTAACTTACTCCTCACCAGTGCCACGAATCAACAACATACTTTCCTGCCATTTCGACATCATCAGGCAAAGCAAACGACTAACTTCTATTTTCGCGAAGCCACCTCACGTGGTGTACTGCAGGGATAAAAATCTGAAGGACATTCTTGTCAGAGCAAAAACAAACCCCCCAAAATTCAATAAGGGTGCCATTCCTGCGGAAAAGCTCGATGCAAGGTATGCCCACAGAAGGTCACAACACGTGAATCCAAAGCGAACTTCTCAGATTTCAAATTCTGCATAACTTAACGCCTTAATTGTGACTCCAGTAACGTAATATACATGCTACTTGCAACATCTGCGGACAAGAATATATAGGCCAAACAGACACGCCATTTCCACTGCGGTTCAATAATCACCTATAATCACCGGTACCACGCCACTTCACTGCCGAAGCTACCTTTATCTAGACATCTGCGCCTGCCAAACCACAGTTTTGAAAACACTTTTGCAGTCCGGTTCCTCAAACAGGCACGAGCGCGAACAGCGTGAGGCATATTTTATTTTCAAATTTAGAACATTAGTAGCTGGCATCAACGAGGACCCCGGAAGACTCGAGAAGTAAGCCAGGAGGAAATTGGTGACAAAGATTGATAGCTGGAGACCATGCTTGTTTTTTCTGACTGACTCGTACGTGTACACTGTCGTTTCTTGTTTTTTTTTTCTTTTTTTTCCATGCACATACAAAGTGTTTATGTTCGCCTACCACTTGACGACCATTGAAGGGAAACGGACGAAGATGAAAGGTGAAGAGCCGACCGACCGATTAAGGGGAAACCCTTTCCTTACGCTCACCGTCACGAACCCCTCCCGCCACCGCGGCGACAATCTTGGGTGGCCCGACACACGTCGAGAACTGACCAACACGGGATAAGAACCGGATGTGGACGTACACCGACATTTGGTTTCGTTCTCGGTGATCACAGTGGTTCTTCCTCTTTTTTTCTTCTCTTTTTTCTTTCTTTCTTTTTTTAGTTCTCTCTCACTCTCGCAAATATCTTTCAAGGCGAGAGGGACGCGGCAGCAACGAAGTCATCCCCTGATGAAGGGAGGACCCCTCCCGAAACTGTTGGGAAATAAATATATCCTTGTTGACAACGCTCCCGTTGTGCCATATCCCATACCTTCACGAAGACTAACTGGCCCATTGAATTATTACTCCCACTATATGTAACAAAAAGAAGTTCAATAGCGGATCCTTGGACGCTGGACTTGACAGCAATTATATCTGATCCTTTCATTTACATTAACAAGCTTACGGCTGTCAGCGAGATAGGTTTTAATGCGTGCTATCATTTTATCACTTCTTAACACAGTGCATAGCTTATAAGCCAGTTTAATATAAAAGACCTTGTCGAATGCCTTGCCGAAATTAGAAATATAGCATCTGTTTCCCTTTGTGTATAGTGCTAGCAAAGTCAATGTGTGGTCTCACCAAGCCGACTGGTTGTCGAAAGGACATTTTTAAAAACATACGCTAATATAAGTTGAAACTATGTTGCCTAATACGTTTGTGAATTACTTTTTAAGAGATTGCAAGATGGTAAAGTTAATGAAATTGGACTAATTTTATTTATGCAAGCTTTTACCTTCAATTTCGGTAAAGGCTTCACCCCAGCAGCTCCCGCCACTGGTGGGCCTAAACTTAGTGTCTACCGTGAGCTGTCATTACCAGTTGACGCTACAAACAGACATCTTATATTGTGTTCTCAGCGCACGGTTGAAATCGCGCCTGGCGAGCCAAGAAAGAGAAAGAGACACACGAACGCACGGAGGGCGATCCACAAAAACTCACCCAACGCAGCTAGGTGGTCCCTGGAACAGATTGTAGAACAAATACTGAAGTCCCAAAGTGCAGTAGCCCAGAGAGAACGCCCGAAAACATGAGGTGAAGCGTTGTACGTCGCCGAATCCGTACTGAACTCTCAGCACTTCAGTCAGTCACAGAACACTATGACTCTTCGCGTTCCATGCTTCAGTTTGCATACAGCGCCTCACGTGCGACGCCACAAAACACCTGGCGGCGCCTAATATTTATATGATGATGATGATGATAAAATATAAGTGTTGCTTTTGCGCTTCAGAGCGCAGTAACCTAGCAAATTAGATGAAGCTAAGCTAAAATTTACTTGCTATTACAGTTTACACGCTTCCAATTTGTCAAGGAAGGCGTGCGTGTCCTGGTTTCCGGCAATGACAAGAAAATTAATTTAGACGCCGGTTTCGATTCCGCTTTTCCGAACAGCTGTCAGAGAGCGGCGTTTGTTACGCACGGTGCGCGAAGGCTCCGCTGCTGTGCGAGGGTTCGCATGCTTGTCGCACCTTCGACCCCGCTGAACCGTTATCTCTGCGGCGTCCTATTTGCTATGTGATCGGAAGGACGTCGGAGCCGCGTCAGCATGGCTACATTAAGCGGAGAGATGAGCAACTCCTCCAGCGTAAGTCACAGCGGAAAGACGGGTGGCCGCCGGTAGTGCGGCTTGACGTGTTCCCACGCGTCGGCAAAGTACGAGGCTTTGTGTACGGCGCTATTTACTAAATAAAGGCTTCTATTGTCCCGGTACTTTGAAGCGTGCAGCAAGCGCGCGATTGAATGAGGTCTACAGAGCGCCTGCCGAAGGCGCTAATTCCTCTCGTGTGCTCACGTAGAGTGCACAATGCGGAGGTCGCGCCTTGTCACAGCTGGTGACGATCGCGTGGCCGTTGCCTACGTTGTAACTTTCTTGCCGCTCACTGAAACAGCGTCACGTCGCCGCGATTACGGGGGTGTAAATCACTTTTCTCAATATAGATCACCCGCGAGAGTAACTACGTGAGATTATCGGGCTCGCTCTGCGCGGTGCGTCAACTGGGCCCGTCCGCGCGCCGTGCGGACTGTTTTCTCTGAATCGACGCTGGCACCGGTCGAACGTACTCGAGTGTACGACGTGTAGCTCGATTCTTTGTGGCCGTCGAGCGCGGCTATTCTTAATTGTCGGTCGTCCTCGCAGGCCCTGATGGAAGGCACGGAGGATGCGGCCTCCATCGACTTCGGCGACGTCGAACGTGGAGTCATCAGGAAGGCTCCCAGGTCAGTCGCTGCACGTTTGTCGGCTTGTGTAATGCAATGAAAATGTGCTGCGATGCGAGCTATCATCTTCGCTCCTTGCAACAAATAACGTGAAATTCGGATGTGCAGACTACTCTCGTAGCACAATCACTCCCGCTGCCCGGTACCGGTGTCATCGGTATCCGAAAGTTGTTAAGAGACGATAAAGAGAAATATTCTCTTGAGCGTTAATTTATTATTGATCAGAGCGTGTTGAAAGACTAAAACTTGTAAACAGACGCGTATTTTCGTCTATCTACCAAAGCTTTAAAAAAAGCACATTCTAAAAGACTGAAGCTATAAAACTCTGGGAGGCATCAACCCTGTACATGTTCCAAGTGTAACTATGTAATGGCATATATAGCTTGCTACTAAGTTAGCATTTGTCACGACTAGAGGTGACACTAGGATTTTTGTATTGGTGGGACACCCACCACACTAAGCTCTTTTGAGAGAGCACGAAAGTGGAGAATTAGTTGCTTACCACAATAATGCGTCCTGAGAACTCTGATCTTTAGTGTCACGCTTGAGCGACAGCAAGACGAATAATTGTAGATTTATATGTTGGTGTGCATTTCGGCTTTCAGTAGCAACAGCTTTTCTTGGTGGCAGAACCGTTATTTACCACAGTGCAGACAACCACTGCAGTTGAAGTGATGTGGATTCGCACATCCATTTGGTTAGTCTTTGCACTGCTGTTTGCTTTCTCAGTGCAGTGCAGTGATGTTTACATGTGATCAATTTCACTGCTGTCGGCTTTGGCTCAGTTAAACTTGATGAAAAAAGGAAGATTGGACAATTACAAAAGGTGACAAACATGCACTATAGCTGTGTTTGCCACGGCGAAAAAAAAAAAAAGACTCTGCCAAGAAAATTTAACTGTAAAATGCGTTCCTGGTGATTTTGCATGCTTGGATGAATACTTAAAACAACCCAAACAGAAATTTTGTAAGCTTTTGTCTCACATAAAAGAGTTGAAGTTTGTCTTGCTGTCTAGAAAATGACATAGGGCTGTATCCAGTGATCTTTGTTTGTTTGTGTCATCATATTGATTGCATTTGTTTGATCATCATACCGATTTATTATTGGTGTCCAAATTCGGCAGTTCGTAGCAGTCACCAATGGTTGTCTTCAGGCTCAATTACGTCCCAGACAACCCAGTTCAGTATGCTATTACAAGCTGCATTTGCAATGAAAGGTAGAGTATGCTGGTTTCACACAGTATGTGGTACCTGTCTCATTTTTTATTAACGCCCTGCCATGCTCGCATAGTGGCTAAGGTACTAGGCTGCTGATTTGCAGGTCGCGGGATCGAATCTGAGCTGCGGCAGCTGCATTTCCGGTGGAGGTGGAAATGTTGTAGGCCCGTTTGCTCAGATTTGGGTGCACGTTAAAAAACACCAGGTGGTCGAAATTTCCGGAGCCCACCACTATGGTGTCTCTAATAATCATATGGTGGTTTTGGGACGTTTAACCCCAAAAATCAATTAATAATCATTTTTTATTAACAAGCACCGTACTGGTTTTTAAAATGTAGGACAGCTCATGTCTGTGTTTACTTTCTGACCATCATGAAAGTACTTTGATAAGTGACCAGTTAAAACCAAGTAGCGTATGTAATCATTTGCTTTTTGAACAGATGGTTTCACTGAAACTGTCAGTAGGTTAGTGAAGCCATCCACTTGGATCGTTTTGTATTTTGTAAGTACGGTAAAAGATGGCAGCTTAAAGAGATGAAATCATTGAAGGTAACGTTTTAAGAAGCAGTCTTGTCATCGTCAAGGTTGCTAGAAGCAGTCTGCAACGAGAGGGCTTGTCAAAAATGTTGGCTCCAGCGACACTTCATGTTCAAGAATTCTTTATAACAATGATGAGTTTTCTAAGATCAAAGCAGGAATGAGGAATGATAAGGAAAGAATAACTTTCAAAGTATCTGTCATTGCTTCAATTTAACAACATGAGTTTGTGTGAGTGCATCCTTATGTATTTGACATTTTTGAAGGTTGATTTGATTGGTTCTGCAAGGAAGAATGATGTAGTGAAGGGGAGTGGTGCTGCTTTATTGCTTTTCTGTCTATAGTGTACCTACATAACTTGGGAACACGTACAAAGCTAAATGGTTGCTTGTGGTGCTTTGTCCTGTAAACGTGTGCCTCATCTTAGATGCAAAATGATGATAATTCACGAGATGGGAAGAAAAGGCTGGCAAAAGCAAATGTTACTTCAACAGAACATTTATTTTGGCAAAGTAAAGAAAACTGCCAGAGAGACAAGAATACAGGATCTCTCCAGTTATACAGCCGTCCCTCTTCTGCCTTCTCCCATGACTCATGCACAGTCGCACACCCACACTCACCACAGGGGGTGCACTTCTGTGTCGCATTACAGCTTTGGCCTCCAGCTGGCTCAGCTCACGCCGATAGTTGTGGCTTGGTGCAATCTTTTGAGTTCCATCTCCCACAACAACAGTGGACACACTTGTTTCCTTCTTATGTGATTAGTGCATTTCTGGAGGAGTCGGCGCATTCGTTTAGAACCTGGTAAAAGTGCCTTGTGTGTGTGTGTGCTGGTTGTGGCGAGCAGGCATCGGATGGCGGCGTTCTTCCACCTGGCTTTCCGGACGACGGCGCTGCTTACGTACCTGTTGTGCCGCCTCTTCACGGACAGCTTTGTGTCCAGCTTTGTGTGCATCCTGCTGCTGCTCTGCATGGACTTCTGGACCGTCAAGAACGTCACGGGCCGTCTGCTGGTCGGACTCCGGTGGTGGAACTACGTCGACGACACCGGGAAGAGCCACTGGGTCTTTGAGAGCCGCAAGGTGAGACATTTGCGCTGCATATGCTCCATCTCAGAAATACCTTACAGCACTGTGGAAGTAGCATAGCTTGTCAGCCAATAAGGAAGGCAAAAGCTCCTCAAAATGTGTTTGTCCGCGTCGCGTCGTCTGCTCGTGTCTCTTAGATGCCTGCTTGCCTACCTGGTCGATACTTGCTCCCTGCAGTTGATATAATGAGCAAAAAGCTCTTTGGGAATGCCACCTCATTGTTTCTTTGACGAGGGAGACAATTACGGTTACCCACCTGTAATATTTGAGAAAATGTGAAATGCATTAGTGAAGGTCCTAACGTAACACGCATCACTGTAATGTGTTATGCAGGAAGCACAGTTAAAACCCCTGTGCCTCGTTGATAATGAAGCAGGTACGCCTGAAACTACATTATGTGCTGTGCAAGGATACTGCCTGCGTACTCCTCATAGCTCTGGTAGTGCTTCAAGGTAGTTGTAAGATGGCGTATAGCGCTGTAGTCTCATGATAAGGGCGGGTTGTGGCTGTATACTTACACGTTTGTATGCAAAAAATTGGAAGACACTCGAGCTTTGCCTTCATAGGTAGAATGAGACAACATAATTGGGCTCCGCTTTCGTATCGCTTTCTCAAACGGTAGCCATACCTCTTTTCTCGATGGGCACCTGTATAGAGCCGCAAATAAAACCCCTGTACAAGCAACATTGGTGGTTTTAGACTATTCCAGAATGCCTACTGCTTGTAAAGTTGCTATGTTCCTGCTGCGCCATAATTTATCATTCTGGAAATAGAGTACCCATCAATGAGTGGATTTTTGTTGCATTGTTGATTGATAACGATTAATTATGTCCGAACAGTTCATGATAGGTCAACCTCTAAACCACCTACTCTTTGCACAGTTCACATAATGGGATGCCTGCTGTAATTCTACGGTTCTGCCAGGCAGTGTTACATGTGTTAACATGGCTCCTCATACTGCATGACACCAGTACAGGGTATTTTTTCTTTTTCTGAACAGTTTGAAATACAGGCCTGACTCGGTGCTAGAACATCTGCTTGCAAATCACAGGGCCTGTGTTCCAAGATGGCTCGGATTCATCATTTTCATTATTTGCATTCATCATGATTTTTCGCTCACAGAATGATGGTAACCTTCGAATATCTGTGAAACGAGCTGTTTAAAATTATTGGATTATAATTAAAGGGTTGCAGCATGAGCTGCACGCTTGTACAAGAGAAGGCATGGAAGAAATGCATGGACATTTTGTTGTGCATGCACCTTGCTTGTGCTACTACTCCTTCAGTTCATGGCATTTACCAACAAACCCACATTATCACTTTCGGGAAAGCCCCAGTTCACTTGCTGTCGCTGTTAAAGGGGCCCTGAAAATTTTTTGAGTAACCATGTAATTAGTTCACTGGGAAAGCGTACTGACTCACAAATTCAACGATGCAAAAATTTTAATAATCCGTCCAGTAAAAGCGGAGTTACAAAGATTTGTCTCACGCTACAATCACATTCTCTCTTCTCTCGTCCCGACCACAGCGCTGGAAACTAAACAGGGAGAGATGGGAGGGGCGAACAAAAAACGTCATGCACGCCTCGTGACCTTGAGCACTTTTTCTTTTTTTTCTTCGAATATGCGCCTTTTTCAGTGAGTTCGCGTGTGCACGCGTGGACAAGTTACGGTTTTTTGCGGCGATCTCTGTAACAACAGAGCGCGCTATGTTCAAATCAGCAATGGCTGATATATGTGTAATATTCGTGTAATTTTTTAGCGTTTTCCGTCATTTGTCGAGGGAAGAGAAAGCAAGTTTTAGCTGACTGATGATTTATTGTGAATTCCAGGCTGCGAGCTGCGCTATAACATTTGGTTCGCATGTTCATGGGAGCCTCTACTACCGATCGTCAGCTTTTTCTGACCATGCTCATAAAGTGTTGCAGGTCCCCTTCAAAGTAAATAAGTTCTGGCATTTTGTATGAGTGCACAACCACAATCTGTTTTATGGGGCAATCCACAGTGAACACTCCGGACCTATTCTGAAAATTCAAGGAGTATCTGACGTAATGGGGCATTACTGTGAATACGATTAAATCAAACTTATGGATGTGGGGAGCAGGAATGTGGATTTGAGATCCCCATTTCTGAGTGGAAAGTGGTGATGAGAGATGTGTGTGCACAGCAATTGACACCAGTGCTTGCACATTTCAGGCGGGTGAGCAGACCACAGATGCCTCGGAAGCAAGCCTATTCTGGATGGGGCTCATCGGAGCACCTGTCCTGTGGACGCTCTTCTTCTTCGTCTCCCTGTTCAGCTGGAACTTTCAGTGGCTGGTTTGTCTTGTTTCTTCATTTTTTGGTGCAAATGGACTCCCGGTGCTTGCTTCGCATTGTTGGCGTCTGCATTGAAAACCAGAAATCATTGTTGTAGGATTGTAGGGTAGGTCAGAAAAAGAAACGACTAATGTGGCGTGCGAAGTGAATGCAGAAACAAAGACAACTGGGCAATGGGCGTCAGCAGTACTTTGTCTTGAGGGGGAGGGGGGGTGCAAAACGGTGTCCCATCACAGCAGGGGTGATGGGAGTTGTGTGATGTGTGTCAGAGGTACATCCCTTCCCTTGCTGCACCAGTGATGTTCCTACTTGTTACTCACTTAGTATCTAAGTGGTCACATTATGCGGCTAAGCGCATGTGTGCAGATTCATTTCCTGGCCACGGCGACTGCATTTCTTGGGGGGGGAGTGCAAAAACACCTGTGTTATTACATTCCAGAGTGTGGTAAAAAAATGTTGCTGTCTCTCACTACGTCATACATCAATATCGGATTGTGGTTTTGGCACGTGAAAACCCAGAAGTTAAGATTTTTTTGTTGCTTCTTGTTTGTGCAGATGGTGACAATGATAGCCCTGGCCCTAAACGGGGCCAACCTGTACGGCTATATCCGCTGTCGGTTGGGTTCAAAGGGATCCATGAAGGCAGCTGCCTCCAACTTCTTTGGACAGCAGCTGCTTCGTGGGGTGAGCATGTAGAGCCATTGCAGCAGATGGAATGAGTGCATTTAAACAAGCATTTGTGGTAGAATGCCTTGTAACACTTTTAAACAAAGGCAGCAGCTATCGGCAGCCAGTGAATAAAAGCCATAACTAGAATCAGTGACACATTTTACTGCACATTTACGTGTCATGATACTAAGAGATCAGTGGCGTAACTAGGGGGGGGCAAGGGGGTACAAGTGCCCCGGGCGCCACTAGGGAGGGGGCGCCAAGCCGAGTCCTCGGGTTGGCGCCCCCTGGAAAGGTTGTCAATGTTTTTTTCCGTAAAACCGCCTGGAAGGGGGGAGGGGCGAGGTTGTAATGTACGACTGGAAGTGGGGATGGTGGTGAAGGAAAGGGTTGCCGCAATGGCTTTTGCATCGGGAAAAGGATCCTCTATTTTCATTTTGCTGCGCTACCTCCGTGCCTTCCCATGACCCTCGGCTAAGCTTTGTTTTGTGCTCCGCAGCACTGGGTTAGATGAGTTTCAGCGAACCCCACCAGCCTCCCAAACCACTTACTGAAAGCTTCCCTGAAACCAACCACGTACGTAAACAAAATAAAATAAAAAAGTTCGAATGCACCTTTTTTGAGTAAGAACAGAAAACTCCAACGAAATAGCCGATCGTCCAACGACTAATCGTCCACGCAGCGGCGGAAGGAAGGGCGAATATAATCCGTGACCTCGGCACCAAAGGCTAAACAAAGGCGTTTATTCGCAGAGTTCTCTGGAGGAAAGACGGAGAAAGCGTGACACGACGGCGACGTTTGTTGATTCCCTGCATCGCGGGCGCCAGCAAAGCAATAGAAGGGCGGGGGTCAACGTTTCCCACATGCCATCCACCGCCATGGGCAGGTTCATCCTTTGGCCCAAAGAACACGCACCTGCGAAAAAAGCGCAGAGCGTAGTGTACCCGACAGCATGTGCCGACTGCCCCGCTTCGTACGTTGGAGAAACCAAGAACTTCCCTGAAAGAATGCGGCCGCACAAGGATGACCTCCATCAATGGAACAGCGAACGGAGCGAAACGGCAGAACACTCCGACCAGTTTAACCCCCATACCAGACCCGAGGGCGCGGTGTCTAGCTGGTTGCTTTGTTTTGTACTCACCCTGCATTCCTTGGGATGCACAAATAGCGCGAAAGCTTAGGTACGAGAAACTTGGGCCTGGGAAGCGCCCGTGCCGTCAAGATTTTTGCAGTGTGGACTGGAAGAGAACAATGACGGGTAAGGGACTTCCGGAAGTTTGAATAAAAAAAGAAAAATACTATACAAAAACGCGGGCGTAGCTCATCGAAATCAGAACTGGTGGCCCTTGGCCTCCGAAATGGCCCGCCGCGCGCCAGTAGGCAATCGCGGAAGCCTACATTAGCGCTTTTAATGGGGGGGGGGCGCGGAAATTATCACGGGCATAATGAGGGGCGCGGAAATATATTTGCCCTGGGCGCCGTCCTATCTAGTTACGCCACTGTAAGAGATCCAACGGTTTTGCCTTCTCAAGAAACTAACAGTGAAGAATTTTGCCAGCACATAGCATTTCGTCACCTTTCTAGATTGGAAAGTATCAAAAGTGGTACTGAATACCGTCGTGTTAAAATTTTGCAACTGACCTGTGTTTGATTTTTAACACTGAACCGGAAACTAGCCTTCCCGGGCTATCTGTCCAGATAATTGTATACATGTGTTTGTGTCAAGAGAAATGAAGCAATTCACTTCAAAGAAAGAAAAAAAAAGTATGATGCTCCAGTCAACTTACACTGTTGATTTTTGTTGATCGGAATTGGTTTCAGTCTCTTTATGCTGCTTTTAGGCTTTTGCTTGCTTGACTTTACATGTTGTAGCGTCATTAGAGGGATCACTTTTGTTCATAGTTCCGTTCCATGACAGAGAAAGACTGTCATTTGCAAACAAATAACAATGACTATAGTCAGCTAGTGTTTGAGCATTTACAGCCATATGAATCAGGAAAAACAAGTTTCTTGCATTTTTTCTGTATGATATGCATTTCCAGTTCCCTTTATTTATAAGCATAGTGTGAAACAGTGAATAGACATAAGCTTGCTTGGGTGTTAACCAATACTAAGCAGGTGTACTGCTGGAGTGCACACATCTTGCAGTACACCCTGAATGTGCATGTTAGTGTGCATTGCTGGAGCAGTACACCTACCTAATAACAGTCGGCACCCTAGTGATTCATTGTTCTGCATATTCACTTGGGTGTCAACCATTATTAGGCATGATGTGTTCACAACTGAAGGTGTACTGCAGGTTGTGCCCACACCCTTGGAGTACACCTTGAATGTGCATGTTTGTTGCACATCCCCGGAGCAATACACCTGCCTAATAATGGTCAACACCCAAGCAAGCTACTGTCGATTCATTGTTGTGCACCCTCACCTGAGAGTCAACCATCATAAGGCAGGTGTACATACCAGTGGTGTGGTGCGTGGTGATGGGGGTCGTACATCAGGGGTGCACACATTCCTGCAGTACACTACCTTGAATGTCTCATGTATGTGCACCCCTGCAGCAGTACACCACTGCAGGGATGTGTGCACTCCTGCAGTACACTATCTCGAATGTCTGTGTACGTGCACCCATGCTGCAGTACAACATCCTGCAGTACACTGCCTTGAATGTCTATGTATGTGCACCCCTGCAGTAGTACACCGCTGCAGGGGCGCATGTATATGAACATTTACGAAAAATAAGAAGAAAAAAAAACAGCCTGATTGGATGTGTGTCTGTCTCTGCAGTGTATCAGTGCACCTTCAGCTATTCTACGCTCGATAGAATGTTATAAAGTCCCACCACCTCACCATGTCTTTTTTTCACGCAGATGTTCAGCAAGAAAGAAGCGGCGCCCCCTGCGAGAGATAGTGGAACGGCCCAGCTTCAGCCGTGACAACGTGGCCGGCCAATTCGTTCCTGTCTGTCCTATGTATATAGACTCTCTCCACCTTCTCTTTCATAAAGCCATTGTAAAATGCCACGTTGTGGGTGGTTCTCACTTTCTAGTATCTTTGCGATCCAGGAGCCTTGCCTCGAGCATTCTTGGTCTCTCACTTTCAGAGGCATACCTTTCACTCTTGTGCAACTTCGGGGCTCAGCATGCAACTATAAGGTTCCTTACTAGAGAAAACTCTGGTGTTAGTGTCTATGGGAGCTGCAACGTATGTCATGTCAGCCAGCATGGGAATGACGGGTATTGCACAAATTAGTCTGATTTTCGTTCTTTCAGGTTTGTTTGGCTTCGCATGGCTTGGAGCTGCTTTGTCAAAAGACTACAATGAGCAACTGTTCAGCCTTTTAGACTTAACCCTTTAGGCATCGACTCACGAAGGTACCAACAGTCAATTCTTTTATTTGAAACAAAAACAAAACACGGAAATAAACAGAGGCATAAGTGCTTGCGAAGCCCGCAAGCACGAAGACTAGGCTAATTTGTGCACTGCTCACCATTAATGTAGTGGCTGAAGGATTGCAGTACCAGAGTGCCCTTTGATTTTAGGAAATAATATGTGTGCAACAACGCGACATTAGAATTACAATAGGGCCTTGTCGTCGGCTTTACCGACTCAATATCCACCGAAAGTCTGTAAACCTGAAAGCTATACGTGTGCTACAGCCCCTGATTGCTAATTTAATTTAATTTAACTTTTAATTTATACTCTGTTCACAGGTAGATAAAGCGATTTATTTGCTGCATTGTGTTCCTAAACCTTGTGGCAGCAACACCAGACGACAACAGGGTTGTGTCCTGTATGCTGCACATGAAAAGTTTGTCAGTTGTGCATATTGATTTCTCCAATAAGCGACCTCACGCCGAGAAGCGGTTAAAACATGTAAATATGTTGTAGATTTGTATCGTGTCTACGTTGTTCGTGTAGTCAGTGTGTGATAGCTTGCGAAGAACTGCAAAAGGGTGCATGACAAATGTAGGTTAAGAGAAAGAACCGAGAAGGGGGAAGTTATTTATTCCTTTGATAGGTGCTGTCTAAGCTTGTTATCATGTTGTGATTTCCTCCAAATAATAGCTACAAACCTCAAAGGCTATGTGCTACAAGCTGAGAACTGGAAACAGGCCATGGTTGCCATTCTTTACACACCACGTGAAGTGAAGAGTTGTCAAGGCAAAAGGGAGAAAAAACCAGAAAAGAGGTTCGACAATTGTCGTATTGCGTCCTAGTCATCAATTGGTCAGTTGTTAATACTGTGCTGTATTCATTTTACATATTACAGTAACATAGTGGCACGGCCGCTAGATGAAAGAGCGCAAGATATGGCTTGCCGCATCGAGCGGCTTTCTATGAAAGAGCGCGTGTCAGCCGTAGGGTCAGTTGCGGCCGCTGCAGCGCGATAGGGTGGGGACGGGAGGGACGGGAAAACAAGTGGCGCAGGCTCCTTCGGTGCAGCAGCCGCAACAAATTAGCTGGTGTTTGTCACAACAGCGACCCACTCAGTTGTTGTAATCAGTGTTTTTTTTTTTAAATCTTATTTATCGTAGCTATGAAATATCGCGTATTTAGTAGACTATGAGGCACTATCTAGTTAAAAAGCCAATAGATTTTTCCTTTGCGGGCTGAGCACCTGACGTTTTTTTTTCTTTTCAGGACCAGCTTCTTGCTTTGAGGCTGAAAGAAAAATCCACAATGCATGTACTGTAGCTGAATGATATGGCACTGAATGCATGACAAAGTCGATGTTATATTTATAAAGATGTCTTAAACTAATGTCTTTTGATTTTTGTGACGTTTATTCAGCACTTTAGCGTTTTCTCAGCTGGAATGCTTGACAATTAATTTTTTGTACTTTTGATAACAGACGTTCATAGTTTTTATATGTTGAAAGCGTAATTAAAAAACATAATTTGAATATTTTTCATGTTACCTGGTACACGGTAGTGTGGCAAAAAATAATTACGCTTCAAACGCTAGATAAAAGTGGTTTCTACAAACATGTTGACACGCTTTTTGTAACTGTATTGAACAGGCTGCAAAAGTATTAGAAGCGGCATTCAAATTTCTTGATAGTTCTTACCAGGCAGGGCAATATATATAGCATCGAACGCGTTATTCGAAGGTCGTAGGTTCGATTCCTGCTCACAGCTGGTAATTTTTTCATCCACTTTTCTTTCTTCTTATTTACATTCCATTGGTTCTCATAACTTTCCCTGTACATTCCTTGGCATTACTGTCTGTTATATCTGATTAATATTGTGTTAAAACACGGAAATACGAGCCCTTAGGTATACACTTCTCTCCCTTATTTTATATGTATATTATATATATACTGGCGTAGAGTGGCTTATATCTAGAGCGATGACGCTGACGATGGGCCTGAGCTCGTGAAACAAAATCATGAGACTGCAGAGACAAACTCCACAGCTGTTGTAGGGTAGTAGAGTACACGTGACATGCCTTTGTTTGAGTGAGCACAGGTGCCAATTTGTTGACGATACATAGTAGAACAAATAACAGTAATGGATGACAGAATCGCATGACTGAGACTGCTAGAAGACAAGCGCGTTAGAGCGCTATTGGGATTCGCCCGTGCCTGTGGAGAGGCTAACATGAAAAGACGGAACGGATGGTTTTATTGTCGATAGACACAGAAGCCAAAAGTTGGGCGCTCAAGCTGGAGCAATTGTCAAGGCGTTTTCTTATGCAAAGATGTGAAGAAGTAAAAAAAAATTTTTGTAAATGCCACGATCAGCCCTAAATTGAGAATCAATAAAATATTTTCATGCATCTTGTTACGAGTACGTGTTCACTGTTGAATTAGTTGCATTATCATAAGAACGTCGCGACAGAAAGAGACGAAAACAATCAAAAGCGCAGGAACACAAGCAGTTGTGTTCGCATTTTGCAGCATTTCATCGCTCTTTTCGTCTCACAGTTTTCATATTATTCACTTAATAACTGCTCGCTCATTTGCCAGCATTGAAGCTAAAGCCACTAAAATTTCAGAGGTTCGAGTCTACTGTTATGAGATCGCACACATGCTAAGTATACTTCGTGGCTGTTGCATCCGATACTGTACTGTATGAATACTATAGACATGTTTGTAAAAAGTAAAAAGTCTATCTTATTTTGTGTTAAAGGAAGAGTGGCAACTGCAATTGCTGAGGTTACTTATTCTAAATGAAATGATTCAATCTGAAGCAACATTTTCTGAAGCAACATACTCACAGTTACTACAATCAGTTTAGATGCATTAGAAAGGTGTAGCTCTTCTAGATCTGTTAGTTGTGATCTTGTAGGATCCGAGTAAAATGTGCTCACAACTCTTACTCCCGTGAAAACCGATCAGTGTGCAAGGTCCTATCTCAGTAAATAAGTTCTGGTATTTTGTATGAGTGCACAACCAAAAATTTGCAAGGGCTGCCGGTATCTAAAAGCAAGGTCGGTAATTACCTGGCGAGAACACGCCAGGTGGATATTAAAAGAAGATTTCGCAGGTCACACAAAGATGCCCGCGCTCAATCATAGCTATTGGAAGCGCGCCGCGCATGTGATTTCATGGGCGCTCATGAAAACTGTCCCCCACCCGCCCCCCGATGGCGCCGTAGTAATGTTTCGGGTGCTGAACCTGTCACGCCGGTTTCGGAGCACGCGGCGGGCCGTACCCGTGCGCTCTTTCATCCAGTGGCCGTGATAGTGGCATGATCTCTCGTTACTGCTCTATTGCATGAAATTGATAAATGTTTAACAAGTTTTTTGTCGTGAACAGCTACAGTTAATACACTGAACAACGTTCTGTGCATCACAGGCCCTTTTCCTCAAGCATTACCTACTCTAGTACCAAAGGTAAACAATTGTGCTGATGTGCTGAAGCATTGTTTAAGCTGTGTCTGACATTTGCATGGTGATATTGGTACGAAACGTTAGACTTGCTTCACCACATCTGATAATTCATTATATCTACATTTAGTAGGGCGTTGCATTTCAGTTGCAAACCTTTGCACCGTGCATGACACCTGTTAATGTAGTAGTAAGGCAAAGGAAGTTGAGTGGTATTAGGTACCTGCATTGTCCATGATGTGTAGATGTTGAGCGTTTGAAATGTCTTTTGGACCTTTTTGCTTAGTTTCCCTCCCTACAGTAGTGCCATGTTTTGTTGCTTTGCTTACACAATGAGCGCTGTTTCTACGAAGACAAATTTTTCAAAATAAATGTCTGCTCAGAGCACAGTATTTTCTTTGCTTCCTCTTGCCATCTTTTGGCTGATGTGTGTGCCTCGGGCTCTGTAACCAGACGTAGAACGAGACTGCCAGCATTGATTGCCCAAATAGCTAGACGTGTGTGTATGCATGCATGCTTTGTCAGCTTCGTTTTCGCAGCTTTTGAAGAATTTGAAAAAGAAATGGTTGCGTATTTGCGTGCTTTGCTAAAAATGTCGTCGAAAGACGATAGTTCTCTGCTGGCCGTCCTTTTCGTGCATAGCGTCACTTTTTCAGTACAGCATAAGAAACAATGGCGTCTTTAGAATTGTGTATCACACCACCTTATTTACACCACCTGATACTTATTGACGTTGCTCCTCGGATATGCGTAATATTTGCTTTTGGTCGACAATGTTCACAATTATGAATGCAGCCACCAGTTCAAGATGGCTGGACTTTCAGCCCAGCCGTTCAGGGATGCAAAGATCTTTCAACAGCGAAGCTGTCTAGCAAATCGTTACTTGTTAAACCCTTCCAAAAAACTATATGCACCACAGAAATTGGGTGACTCCCATTACTCGTCACTGGTAGACTAAAATTGAAGGCAACAGCCCAAGAAACGGGTATCTGCCACAGACAATTGTGCCAACTATTGGAAAACTGTCATCGTCGTAAATGGGCATGTGTAAAAATCTCGCTACACCCAACTTCCTGTAAAAAGGTACAACGCAACAGGTGGCCCGACAACTGGCTGCAAAGCGACAGTGATGAACAGGAGACTACGTACGAGACAATACTACTAGGGAACGAGAGAGGCTGCGGTGGTTGCGACAGAACCCCAAAGCGATGAAAGGCTTATGCCAATAAAAAGGCACTCATGTCACTTATGCGACTGCCTGTGGTTTATTGTGAACCTCTATTCGTTGAGAACCAACGTAGAAACAAACCAGCATCACCTACTAAAGCCTAGAAACAACCCAGAGGCAACCTGCATCAACTAGCTAAGGCCTTGCATGTCTTAGTACAAGTATCACCCAATTCTTTTTTCTTTTTGGAATGAGTAGGCAAAAGCCTACTTAGGCCTTCTGTTGATCTGCTGAATTTTATGAACAGCAACTACTAGTAACAGAAATCTTAATAACGCACAACTTCAAGGGTAGATGGAACCTTGGAAGTGATGAAATATTCTTGAACACGGGGAGTCGCTGGTGCCCATGTTTCGACGTGCAGTCTTGCCTTCCTCAAAGCTGCATTCCAAGGCTGCACCTGCAACCTTGAAGACAAAACTGATTGTCAAAGCGTTTGCCCTAGGGGAAACGTCATGTTCAAGATTTTTTCAACTACTAATAGAGGCATGCAGATCGATTTGACATTTCATAACCAGGCATGTGTGAAAGTGTTAAGTATATTCCGTGATACTAAACAGTTCATTAAGTAATGCTTCCGAGTGTGGATATGAGCACCCGCTTAGAGTTGCTGGGGGTGGTGTGTGCACTTGTGGCTGTGAATTAGGAGGACAATGACATTTCGTTGGACCTGGTTGTGGAAGATATGTGCTGCGGTGGTTGAGGTGTGTACTTAGAGGGTTGGATCTTATTAAAGTGTAAATAAAAGATGCAAGTAAAATTATATAGTTAGCATGGCATGAATTCATTGCACTTACTGAAGAAAAGGTAGTTTGTGACCTTGTATACGCACATCAATATACAGATGATCCTAGTACAAAATCAGTTCCACGCGATCTTGATACTTAAAATTTCTACAAGGGACAGTGTATGTTTCATAAATATCAGTAGAATGTTCTATACAACTGTAAATAAGAGGTTCTTCAGAAGTCTTACGGAAAGCTTAATCAAATTTCAATACAAGGTCAGACGGAAATACTGTCAGTGTTCAAGGGTGACACCAACACTAAGTTGGACACTAACTTTTTGCAGTAAATCGGCAGTGTTCATCATAAAGTTAAGTTCAGCACATCAAAAGAAACTTCGTCAGCAGATCAACAGAAGGTCTCAGTAGGCTTTTGCATTCTTAGAATGTATTATGCATTCCCACCAATATTTTTAGCATGTTGGGTTTCATTGCATCATAATAAATTTGCAGATGCTGAAAGAGCAAAAAAAAAAGCTTGCTGCTGCTCATTGCGATCTTTGAAACGTTGGTCACGAAATTTGCAGGGCGAAGCAGAGGATAAATGAACTATATTCTTGGGCCAAAGCCAAGATAGGATTACAGGGCGTGCTGCAATGGGGGGCACCTAAATAATTCAGACCACCTTGAGTTCTTGCACATGCACTTGTTTTTCTTTTTTTAAGGCAGAGCTGTTGTTGAACTTTGCCAACAGTCAGTCAGACAGAAATTGATAATCGTCATGAACCAACACGCGCTTTCCTCATCTTCTGCTTCGATCCAAGAGCACGCAGGGATTTGCCTGGCCCACAATTCTGATAACACTGATGGGCAAGAAAAAACAATACATAGAGAGAGAGAAAAAGGAGAAAAAACCTTGGCGAGGCACGATTTGAATTTGTGTACGCACGATCCCGTAATGCATGTCCTAACCTCTTGGCTATCCAGGCATGCTAGCAGAGCATAGCATAGCTTTATTTAGTATGATATAGCAAGGGGATAAGAAAAGGAAGTCGGGGAGAGGTATAGAAGCATAGCGGAAAAAAATAGAAACAGACAACAGAAAAAAACAGAGGACGCATAGTTGCGTGCGGTAGTATAGTATAGCTATGGGGTGGAAAAGAGAGAGGGTCCTAGCCTAGCCAAGCCAGAACCAGCTAAGTGCGCACCAGCATTGCTGTGGCACAGCCTCATGCGACTGTGCAAACTGCGCTAATTTTTAAGTTTTCTACCGAAGAAAACACAGCTGCCATAGCCGGGCATTGTGATGAGCAGCGTTGCAGACAAAGGACGCTCTAATTATTGCCATTGCACACCCTACCAACCACTGCCAGAATTATTATGCCAGTGCTTTTGCACTTTCTCTAATAGAAGCTTCACGCAAGTTCTTGCCGAATCTGCAGACAGACAGGAATGTTTATTTGTACTAAATTTACAGCACTCACACGAATGAGAAATTTCATTAAGCAAAATGCTGAAGAAAAAACCGGCAATCACCAGAGGACTTAGCAGGCAAAATAAAAGCGATGCTTGAGCGCGATTCATTTAATAAACTGCCAGCCTGTGTTTGCTGCATTATCACTTATGTTTCGTTTTTAATGTACAAATTTTGCCAAGTTAGGTTATACCATTTCTGCAAGCATTTGTTTCAGCACCACTAACATCCAATGACTATGGGGTAAAATGAGCGACCAGCAAACACGAAAATACTGTGTCATACACATAATTTATTTGTACACTATCGCATATTTGCAAACTACGATCAGACCTTGAATACTGTAAAGCCAAAAGCTGCCACAAGTGCATTCACTGAGCTCGCATGAGTTGACGCTTCTGAATAAAAGCAGCAAACTCGCGATAACGAAAAAGTGATATCCCATACTCGTGGTGAATTCAGAGGAAGTTTAAATTTCTGGTTCGCCAGCTCTGTTTCTAGCATATCAAAGAGCTGCTCAATTCAAACCGCACTAGATGATTCATTCCGTTAATTCATGCCTTTTGTTTGTCATACCAGAAATGTCAGGTGCCCTTCTTTTCCTAGCTGAATATTGGCATTAATATTTTCGAAATAGTAAATAAAATAAAGCAAAGAGTCCACTCAGACTTGTGGAACAGGTGGCAACCATGAGCATAAAAATAAAGCAAACACGATAACAGGAATGAACTCTGGCCATCCCCGCTTTTCCCAATACGTAGCACTAAGCTCTATGCCTTTACAATTCGGACCAAAATCTCGCTTTGTAGAGCTTGAATTATTGAGTCTACTGCGCTGCGTTAAGCACCCCTTCTTAGTGTACGCATTGCCCCTTGTATTTTCTCATAGCCATGCTAACGAGCACAGCGAAAAATCCCCTGGCACGTGCACAAAAGTTAACGCATTGTACTACACACAACTGTCCATACATACATGCCTCTTTTGAATTCTTCACTTGAATATAAATCACCAAATTAAAAGATATGTACAGCTGCTCTCACATTTTGCATAAGGGAGCATCAAAAGCACTTTTCAGTGAAGTTCCGGGCAGGTTAGATGCACACAGTATTGTACATTTTAAAAATGCCTGTATTTTATAACTTAGTACCTGTACCATGAACTAAAAGAAATAGTAATATATGTATACTTAAGACTTAAGTTATCATTGCATTTTGTATGTAGTGTCATACTTGATTTTGGGACATTCACACTTGACAATGTTAAAAGTGGTGGTGTAGCAGAGTTGTGAAAAATGTTCAACAGCATTAAATATATGAATAATGCAATGAAAGTGACTTCAAAAAGTAAAACATTTTTTTTTGTGACTAAAGGACAACTCTTGCAAAAGACGTTCAACATATGGCACACTTGGGTCAAGGTTTAATGTAAACATTCAGTGACATTTTTTCTTTCAACAAGCACTTAGTACATTACAAGAAATGTGCCCATGAGGGTCTCAAACTAAAGTACTGAAACACACAATGCAGTCATAACTAAAATAACAATATTTGCACAGTCTGCTTGAACTGTCAGATATTTACAGTTTACAAAATACGCATTTGCAGTACAATGGACTGGCTAATTTCGAGCATGTAGCCCTGAAATCGGCCAGACGGAGGATAAAACAAGCCTTACTCCACCACAGCTTCAGTAACAACTTGCAAAACATGTAGTTGAAGATCATGCAAACATGTAGTTGAAGATCATGCAAACATGTCTGTTTTGTAATAGGATGAAGTAATAACGTGTTCCACGTTTAGGACTCAGACTGCTCTTCTACAAGCGGCCACGCGTTCAGGTGATACACACTTTCTGCTGATCAGATCAAGAATAGGCCCTGCATTAATGCGATCATAATCGACGTGCAGGGGCGACCAGCTGCACAAATCGTTAACATATGGATGGAAACAACTTTATTGGTATGACATAATTAACGTGAGATCGCAGTGGCAACTGGTTTATAACATTCCATAAGTGGCCAAATGAGACACGTAACAATGGTCGTCTGCCTTAACATGAGATACTATGATACACATATGCGATATATACAAGTGATTAATGCTGCTTGTGTGACAGCGTGTGCACGCCTTGGCCATCAGGCAGCGCCAACTTTGGCCAGTGGGTGCAGCACGTTCCCGCTTGAGGTCTATGCGGGCACTCTGGGTCACCATACATCCGCGTTGTGGTGCCCTACGTTGTTCTGTACAGGCCGTGGCTTGAACAGCTCCCACAGCCGAGTGAACTCACGCGTGTACGAATCCACGAGGTCCGGCTCGCTTGTCATGATTAGGTTCTCATGGTTGCCTGTGGAAGAACCGTAGAAAAATAATACATAAACAGGAATTTTTGAATGAAAAATTTTTGACCACCTGGGGTTCTTTCAGGAACACCTAAATTGAAGCACACAAGTTTTTTTGCATTTTGTATCCATCAAAATATGGTTGCCTTGAAAGAAATTAGCTGTCTTTGAGCTTAGCAGTGCGACACATTTGTTCCATGACAGGCAATGCATTTTTGCAGCCTGAAAGTAGCGTAGCAAGTAACTGCTTTCTTGCCGCGAATGTCTAATCTGTAGTGCTCGTCTGGAAATAATAACAATGGGGGAGAGAGGGCTTTCAGTCATTTTTATTAAAGCTTATCGTGGGTACACATTTGGGAGATGCTTAAGATACATATGTCACTTATGTTTACCACTCTGCTTTTACGCGAAGCCAACCTGAAGACTGAGAATTGACACCATTTGCATTTTATATAGAAGAGCCTTTAAAAGTACTTTATGTTGCCAATGCTACTTGCTATAGTAATGTCTCTGAACACTGCGCAAAGTTGCTTAAAGTATAACGCTCTCGTGTACTTTTCTCATCAAAAGATGGGAATGCTACGAACGCACGATGAGAGCGGACGCGCGTTGCATTGGCTCCCGCTCTTTTCTTGAGGACCAGCGGAACCCTGCTTCACACTTCATCAAGATTGACCCTATCTTCTTCGTAACATCGTTCTGTACCAGAAGACACCTCTCTCATCTAGGTGGGCCAATTTTGGGGCATTTTATGTTTACTTGTTGTCCTGAGCTCGTCGGAGCTACGCTCGCCCGACCGAGCGTTGCATCAAACGCTGACTGCGTCGGAACTTCTCTGCGGCCGCAGCCACAGATGGCGGCCACCACTCTCCATGGATATGATCCCACGACGTTGGCTTGGAAAGACATTTCTACCCCAGTGCCCGAAAACTTCGTTCCACCAACGGATATCGTGGAGTGGATGAGAGAGTGTTCACCGTGGTGGACCTCCGCAAGCGTCGCCAGCAATCTAAAGCTACCAAGGGTTCGGCTACCAATAAGGCCACGTCTGCGAACATTTCACCCGAGAAGAAGACATTCCGTGTATCGTGGCGGCCTACCGCTATGCCCCGCATTGTTGCAGAAGACTTCACCATCGTGCTGAAGCCTCACGTCACGGTGGATCTCAAAGCTACTTTTCAACTAGGTGAACTAGACGCCAAGCTCACCTCATACGTGAATGCTGCCTCGAGTGACTCTATCAGTGTGTGGCCCATGTGGGAGCAAAATATCATTGTTGTCAAAACCGAAGACATCAACTCTGCGAACCTTTTCTCACGAGAATTTTCACTCGAAACATCACAGGGTCCCCTACCAATGATTGGCCATGCCAAGATCAGTGGGGAAGTGTGCCGTGGCATCATTACGATGCATGAGCAGGAGACCTCCACCTCCTTGAAAGCAAAGAACCATTGGCATGGTGGAAGCATCGCTTTCATCAGAAAGCTTGCAAGACTTCGGTGGCCCTTATAAGCCTCGAGGGCCGCCGTGTGCCATGTTTCATGTACTACAACAGCGTTGTGACGCCAGTACGCGAATACAAACGCACCATTCCAGCCTGCTACCGCTGTGGCACAGTGGGCCATCGGGTGGAGCTGTGTCCCCACCTGAACGACCAACACTGCGGCCATTGTGGTTAAGTTGTGGGTGCTTCTGAGGAAGAGATGGCACCGCATGAGTGCAAGCCATCCTGCCTGGTGTGCGGTGAGGGACACTTCACCGGATCCCAGGCCTGCAAAGCAAGGTTAAGCCACCTTCAGCAGCCGGGCGGGCATCATGGCAGTCGCGGCTCGTCGAAGCAGTAATCAACGCCCAAGACATCTGGCGTCGTGCCAGAAGTACGTCAGCGAAGAGCTACCAACTAAGCCACGAAAAGACCTGCTACTGGAGGGACCGGTCAACAAGGACCACCTCCACCTAAGACACCGTCACAGCAAACGTCATCCAAGACACCTGACCAGGGTGCCCCCGTGCTCCAATCTACGGACTTTCCACCTCTGACTGATGCCGGCGCCCAAACGGTCGAGCAAGAAAACAGCTTTCTCAGGTAGGCAATGGGGTGAGGGCTGCCTTCTCCTCCTATTCCTTCCCCGCCTCCTCCCCCGAATTCCTCGAGCTCAAACAAGAGCTTGCTGCGCTGCGGGCACTGAATGTGCAGCTTCAAGCCAAATTTGCCGCCTTGGAGGCAGGTAGTCCACCAGTACCCCCTGCGTCTCTTTCCCCCAATATTACCATTCCTGCTCCAGAACCGATGCCCATGTGCACCATTCCTTCTGCCTCGGAGCCTTCTAACACTGAAGAGAGATTTCAGGCTATTCAAAGTACTATGACTGCTTTAATGACACAACTCACCGCCATAAGCAAAAGCCTAGAAACTCTTTCCAACACTGTTACCCAACAGGTGACAAGTAACATTAAGGCCCGTATTCACAAACGCTCCTCCACTCGACCCTTCACTCGAAACGCTCCTTAAGTGGCGTTTTCCCATTCACAAACCGCCCTTCACTTGAGAAAATCTTGAGCGTTTCCTCGAGATTGTCAAGGAAGCGATTGAGCTACCTTGAATCGTCTCTCGAGTGAAATATTTGCGCCAGCATCGCGTCCATGGCGGAGCCCGTCTCGCTTTGACGGCGTTGATCGATTAATTTGGCTGACACCGCCGCGTTCTTTCGACAATGACGGTGCGCGTTTACTACGGAGCTGTCTTCGAACGGTTCAGCAACGGCTACTGTGGCGCCGGGACAAGCGGGTGTGGTGTCAAGAGGAGCACTCACCAGTGCCGTGATGTGTTGCGTTCCGTGCATGAGCCAGTGGATTACCTGCCTCCGGGTGAGCGTATACTCCTCGTGCGAGTGCTCCACGACTTACTGCGGATTCCAGTGCTTTGAAGTGATTTGATGAAGCTCGCACACCGCATCAGTTCAAGCGTGGTGTGAAAGCTTGACAAGCAAGCGGCATAGCAAACTTTTGATGCGCTGGGTTCACCGTACTTTAGAGTGGCTTCCTCTCCGGTGAACCTTTGCTGCCCTAGCCGAAATTTACGACGAAGCACACCTCCGTTAGACGACCATCTGTACCAATGAGAAGGTAAGTTCTCCTGTGTTTTTTTAATTTTTTTCCTGCTTCGGTGAGATTACTATTAAAGACAGTTTAGGAAAAGCACAACACAATACATTGGGCGCGATGAGTGTGCTGCTGTAGCTACTACGCGTGAAACATAGCTTCTTTATACAGTGTCTATGCAGCTCACAATACCAATGAACGACCAAGTACACATTTAGGGGATCAAGCAGATGATCATGCTCTGTGAAACGTACATGTACGCAAACGTGCGTCGAGTGTCGTATGAAAAGGCAAACATATGAAATATAAATACAGCAGATACATAATGAGATTGTTTTTTTTTAATTTAACCCCATTCCTACCACCCGAAGAAGAATTGCTGGCTATGGCACTGATTCGTGCAATTAGATATTGAAATTATATACCCATATGCCTGGTCGGCTGCCCAAGTGCCTGAGCCAAACATGTGTCAAAATAGTCAAAGCTCAATACTTCAACCATGTCTGTTCTTGAACACGAGACATACTAATGAATGTGTGCACAGCTAGAATTAAAGAAAAATGCGGCTTTTGTATTCAAGCTATTACGTTTTTCTAATATTATCTCTTGCCTCTATTGTGCAGGGGACCAGCTGCCGACAGAACACAGAGAAAAGGCCTCCTAGAATCTGCCGTATTATCAATGCATTGCAGAGTTTGCACGACTGTATACAAAAGCACAAAAACAGCAGTGAATGCGTGCAGCTACACTGCATTAGGCGCGCTATGGTGTCTACTTCCTTAATCTTATTTATGATGTCCTCCGAGCTCATACTTTATCTTTACAGTGTGTAGGTTGCATATGTTTGATTGATGAACACTTTTCATTTGCATTCTTATATTTGCGCTGTTGCTCCTCATCAGCCACATGTAATAAAGGTCCATTTGCCATTCACAACTTCTGTTTTGTTCATTTATCAATACATAATTATCGTCGTGTTTGTCTTTTCATAATGAGACAGGACTGCAAAAACCACTTCTCCGATTCTACAGGAAAGCAGTTCTAGGAAAATTAAACTTGTTTTATATAAAGCAGCACCACTCCTCTTCCACGGAACTGAGGTTCTAACTGGTAGACTTGCTAATGATGCAGCAATAGCGGATATTTTATTTACAGGGTTCTGACCAGATGTATCCGCGATGACTGCAATACTCTTGAGCATTTTTCACCGCTTTGTTGCACTGGTCTTCAATAAATCAGCAGAATAATATACGCTGCTCTTGACACTTTCTCGAAGGTTGAGAGAACCCACAGGATAGTTTTTAAAACAGAACAGCACCAAAAGTCAGACGCGGCTTCAATTTTATGATTTCCAAAAAAATAAAACATCCCCTATAATTTATCTTGTGCCGGGGCTTTGGAATGCAGCACAGACACCACGATCCTTTTCAACAGATATTTCCAGTAGTTATATTGCAATTAAAATCCAAAACATTAGTGCGAAGGTCATTCATGCACTAACGATTGTGCTTCTGAGCATGCAGATGAAGGAGACGGGAAAAAAAATTTAAGACGTTGCCGCTGTGTGAAATTGGAGACGGAAGCTACACAAATTTAAAGGTTACTTCTATGCGAATCTGTCAAATTAGACGCATCCACAAATGCAGGGCAAATAGAAAAACAATGCAAAAACAATAACTTATTCCTTGGAAGTTTAAAATGTTAAAGTTGACACACACACACACCAGTCCCTGTTAACCGACTATATATGTAACTAAATGAAGAAAACAACTTTAAAATGTATTTTTCGCCAATAGTGAAAGAAAGGCACACGATCGCTTTTCTTAACTTGCGTAGCAGTCTAATTCGAACGCTCAGCCACGAGTATAACATGCCTAGTTTTTAACGCTACCCTGGTATAACC